ATGTAACAAGTAAGTTTGATATTTATCATACTTCAATTTAGTGAAAATTTTTTACTAAATTTGATAATGAACATGCTCAGAATTCTTGCGCCATTCCATGCCTCAAGGCAAAAACAAAGAAACATGCATATGGCATGCGTGAATTATATAGGACAAGACTAAAGTCAGTTAAGACCGTGACTCGAATTATTTGCATTGATGTCCTCCGACAATGCCTTGTTTTCGTTCGCCTTCTGAATTCTGATTCTTCTTCTTCCTCAAAATATGGGATAATTTCTAGGAGTTTTTAACGTTTTCTGAATTTTCTTTCAGTTCATCCTTGCATGCTCATACATACCTGATTCAAGTTTGGTTAAAATCCGCTTAATGTTTTTTTTAGTTATCGCGGTAACAAAATGGTTAAATGCGGGAAGCGGACGGACAATCTTAAAACATAATGCCTCCAGCCCCACCTTTCGTGGTAGAGGTATAACAAATATATGTAGAGTGACATACTTCTCAAACAAAAACTTATATGGATTGATTATTCGACGTTGTTTTGAGGAAATTTTGAGGAAAATAAAAAATAAATAAACCTGAAAAATCGCGCCAACCGATATTTCGCCCATGGGAGGGGGGGGGGGGGGGGTCAAAACACCCCCTGCGTACGCGTCTGGAGGGAGGTATGGATAGACAGACAGCAACACCTTGGTAGATGGAGGCATACGAATCAAATAAAAACAAGCAAGCATGCATTTGACTTTTAAGGATTTATTTTTGGTAAAATATGTAATACAGATGTACAACTTTGTCCATGTAAAAATATTATAAATTTCCAAGTATAAAAAACACACATATTCACCCAAAATTGCATAGAAAGATTATTAAAAAAATGAAAGTACATGTAGCATATATAATATTACTATCCAAAACACACATATGTAATATTGAGTTTGAGTAAACTATTTCAATGATTATTACAACACTTATATATGAATTATATATCAACATATCACATCACAACTTGAAGATACAGTGAAGCACTCTGAATATATTTAAATTCATTGTGCATCTGTTTTCACTAGAATCAAGTTATAAATAAAACAAAAACCTCTTTCTATGAGTGGCATGTCTTGTTTTCTGATGACATGTATACTAACAGATTCCATTCTTAATATTTTGATTAAAAGACCTTATCAGATGAAAATATAACTTTACATCAAAGGAAAGCTAGATATAGGAACCAGTATTGCACACAAGCAAACAAAAACCTAATTTTCCGCACCCTCCAAATTACGGGTCAACAGGGGTCAGATTTGCTGCAGTTACCAGTGACGTCATAACACCCTATCAACTCGTTCATATAGCTGAGGCGATGAGTCAAGCTTAATCAATGCAAACTCATTGTTAATATGCGGACTCCATAGAAGATGATGTTATAGCTAGTTAATAGGTCAACGACTTACAACTTTCAAAACTTTTGATTTCGAGTTTTCAGAGAGGTGATAACCCTCTGACAGAACTTTAAAAAACATTGATATTATTGTAATCTATGGCTCATAACCTTTCCATTAATATATAATTCATCTATATATTTCACTTTTCACTACCTACATGGTCTTTAATGTAATGAAAGATGCAGCATTTAATACATAATATTATATATTTCTTTTTAAAACTGCAAGGTGTTGGTTCCAGAATACATTCCGACAGACATGGATGAAACAACATTCTCAAGACCTGGCTCGACAATAGGTATAATGGATGGATCAAAGAACACTGGGGGCAGCATTTCTTTTTCTCACTTCACAGATCAAATCAACCATTCAAATTACTTTCCATGACCCAGTCACAATGAAACATAGCGTGATTAAAGTAGAATTTCAAGTGGAGTTGCTATAGACCATATTGAATGGGAGGGCCTATTCATTAGCTGCTAAAGAAGGATGCTATCCTGGTAATAGAAATGTAAATAAAATATAGCTAAAATGTTTGATTCTCACATTCCAATTTGTTTTTGCTACTATCAAGAGCTAACACTAGAGACACCATAAATCAAAAAATTTGATTAGTACTTGAAATTAATGATAGATGAATACAGAATAAATCCCTTATACCTTTCAAAGGGTGATCAAACTCTTGTAATAATTGATTTGTAGTTTCCTGTCCTATAACAGATCCTGGTCCCATTGTGGTGATTCATTCTAATACCAAGTTTCAAATAGGTCAGACCCATAATTTGAAAGTTATGACTGTTTGAAATATGAGATTAGTTATTTTGTGTGTCGGAACAAATGGGAAAGTTGTCCAGTAATTTGTCACTGTTACACTATCAATTCAGCCAATATTCATAACTTTCTCATTTATTATCCAATTTCCTTCAAACTTTCTCCAATATGCCTCTCTGATTTGCTAGCGCTTTCAGAGTAATTAACTACCTAGGTTAGATTTCCCTTTAACAAAGAGATAGATGAAATACTCTATACTAATTCTATACTATACTAATGATAACTTCTTTTTTAAAAAAATATGATAGATAAATATATGTTTCTAATATCTTTCAACAAAATGATACTAGTAGATGAAACTAAAAACTACTTGCTATATCCCACATTCTAAGAATTAATGTGATTGGTCTAAATCAGGTCACATGACAAGTGATAGAATACTTATCAAGGTAGTGCAGCCTCGGATGTAACGAATTAAATTTTTGTCACGATACACGATAAGAGCCAATGGCGAAGGCTTTGTGAGATGATGTCTGCACATATCAAACATACATTATTCACATCTGATACCCAGCCAGTAAGTGGATGTACTTACGTCATGGTAAATTCACTATAAAGTGTATTGTTGATGTGAAATATAAATCAATTAATTGCCACATTTACTTGGGTGCTTGGACAAACTATTGATAGGGTTCTTACTCTCTTTCCTACAGCTCATGTACATACTAGATTCACCATCATCTTGTTAATGGAAATTTGTCCCACTGTCTTTAAAGTTAAGGACTATCTGTCTCATACCTCTAACAAAGTGATACAGGAATACTGATTAGTACTTTATATCTTCAACAAATTGATCGATGAATACTGATGCTAATTTAAGAGCATTAACTTTTTTTTCCTGCTTCGATCAGCTTTCAGACCCCTTTGGCAAATGTTTGTCACACACACATGCAGTCTATGGGAAATATTACTGCAAATAATCTAGGGACTCTGCTCCTAGCAAAGATAAGATTTACACATTCAACTTTACGTTGCATGCATTCTTTGAAATAGTAAAACAATTTAAAATCTTACATCATACCATCAAAGCCTTGTAATAACATGCAGAACCCAAAACATTCATAGTAGACGAAAGTATCATACCATGCTTCTATCATCTGTTTGCTGTATTTCTCAAATCATATTTCTCTCGTATCAAAGCTAGGCTATCCAAACACATGAAGAACAAAGTATCATAGATACATTTGCAGGTAAATCTAACTGTAAATTTTAGAGTCTTTCAGTGAAAGTCATGGAGTTTTGATTTACCTCCTCCTCTGTTATAATACAATTTTCAACTTTATTGAACTACATGGCCAATATAAACATGAATTCAATTCCTCTTTTGTTTTAAACCTGTGACCAATCTACATTCTACTCCATTATAAATGTCAAAATTCCAGACAGTACAAGTAATTAGCACCTCAACAAATAATCACAAGAATCATAATTTATAAAGAAACATGTCAATATATGTTTTTTTTCTTCCAATTAAAGATTTCAGTACATGAATTACAAGCAAGCAACTAAACTGTTTTGCTATGAAATCCACTTTTTGCAACTTTGTGTATCTTAATAGTTAAAGGTAATACAAAGTTTTGGGAAATTTGAAAATTGGGTGGATAGTGATTCTTTACAATTTTGATATATTTGGATGCCCCTTTGGATGTATTATAAGCACTATAAGAATTAACCCCTAAAACACTTCTGTTTTCGAGAAATATTGAATATAAAAATTTACCGGTGCTCCCTGTAAATTTTGATAAATTTCAAATAGCGCCTACAGCCGTACAATGGTAGCTGCGACCATGAAAATCTCAGAATATGTAGTTGTGATATATAATTTCCAAACGGGAATAGCTAATCGGTCGATTTTAGTCAAGAAACATTGTTTCATAGCTAAATTAATATCTTGACCTTGAGAGGGAGCTATACAACATATAGAGTTTATTATTTATAATTTCATAACTTTAGACTCGATTTCAACCGGGACAATGATCAATGAATATTGTAGGAACGCATATGCTTCCAATATGTTAATTTGATCCAAATTCATGACCTCATACCAAAACTTTGTATTACCTTTAATGTCTCTTGTAATAGAGATTTTGGATGAGGTGGGTTTATCCATAAATGCCAGTATACTGTTTGCTTTGTATTGAATCAATCAAACACACAGCTATGAACAACGCTTTTGTCTTTACACCAAAATATATAAAATATGGATACTAGAACAGATGATAATAATAATAATAATAATAATAATAATAATAATAATAATAATATGTCTTGTTTACCAAGGCTAGCCTCATCAGTATTCATACTGTTCTCCCTGAAGGCCCTGCAATCATATTATTACCCCGGTCATCGGATTCAGGCTTACCCGCACACAATGTATGCACATTCTCCACTCACTGGGGAGCATTCCAGCCAGGCGTCATTCACTGAATGCATAATGACAATGAAAAGTGTACCAATACATTATATAGCTAGTATATGAATGTTTTTTTTAAACCAAAAGTCCCTCTGTTAAATGCATCATTACAAGTGAAGAATCTGGCCAGCTTTGAATGCAGGCAGTTTGCATGCTTGGTCATGCTCTGTACATCATGCTTAAGCTGTGACATCGCTATGTACTTAGCCTCTGTTCTGTACATGCGGATGAGACAGAAATTCCCTGAAAGAAGGATGATTAAATGGGGGTCCGGGGGTAAAAGGGGGCCGTCAATTAACCCCATCAACTTTCTTCGCAAGAAAAAAAAAATTAAAACCCTACAAATTATAAATTTCATACTGATACACTTCATGGATTTACACCTAAAATCCCCTTAATTTCTGTTCTTATTACCCCCCCCCCCCCTCCCCCCGTCTTGAAATCTCAAAATTTGCAGAGGAATCTCATCCCTGTGCACAGCCCTGCATAACGTCCCCCAGCAGTAGTTGCCAACTTGCCATGCTACATCATGCTTTAGCGGTAACATCAGCATATACTTTGCCTCTGTTCTGTACAGCGGCATAACGTACCCCTGCAGTCGTTTCTTTGTTGATAGTCCGCGTACGTCGATACCAGATATACCCAGCTATGACTGCTATTATCACCATGATCAGTACGATGGGTATTACAATGGCTGCTACATCTGGATTTACAGAAACAAAGACAAAAGGAAAGAGAGAGAGAGAGAAGGAGAGGGAGAGAAAGAGAGAGAGAGAGAGAGAGAGAGAGAGAGGGTGGAGAGAGGGTGGAGAGAGAGTGAAAATGAGATTGCACATAATTCATTTTTTTAGATCTACACATACCGAACACACATACACATACACTGCCGAGATGCTCCTTTTAACATTGTCTTGACTCCTGATTATGTGCAATTTTTCACTCAAATTTTCATTTATCATGACATGGTAGACAAATGCACACTAATTTAGCTTTTTAACTGTCTTAGCATGCATTCTTGAAAGTTTTAAAGCCTGTAGTCTGTAGCAATCTAACTCTCCAAAGTATTGTGTAAGGTAATCAAAAAGAGAGATTAAATATCTATAGAAATTCATGTGAAGGGATCATTAGATTCTCCTAAAAGTTGGCATGCCAGTTATACATATCCTGTTTTTTATTTTCTCTAGTTAATAGTTATCAATGTAAGAGCTCACTCTGTTTTAAAGTTGTGAGGGATTAAAATGAAACAAGTAGCCAGGGTTTCAAAAAATTACAACTACATCACTGTAGTACAACGTATTCAAAGTCAAACACAGGCCTCCAAAACACTATCAAAATCTTACTTCTAGATTGTTTGGTGCTTCAAATTTTTCACAATTAGATTAAAGAAAGTATGTTCTTTCAGGAAATGTTGAAACTACAATTCAATCAACTTGACCATATACACCTTTATTGAGCTCTATTACTAAAACCACACCATGCAACTATTTGGTGGTGCTGTGGTGCGGGATCACAAATAAAGAATAATAATAAATAAAAGAAAGACAATTCTGACAAAGTCGAGAGATGATGTCTTGATGATGACAGCCCACCTAAAAAGAAGAATCAGATGCCAAATAATAATATTAATAATGCTTTAAGAAGATAAATAATATGGAATAGAGCACGAATGATTACTTACTGACAGACTTGGTATTTGGTTGTGGTGATTGATTCAAATCATCTGTAGTCATCATCATCCCTGGGTCAGTAGGTTCACCTTTAGCCTGGGTAGATGACTCTGGGTTAGAGGTCGTTGCTACGGGTGATGATGTGGTCTGAACTGGACTATCATCTGATGAACAAAGAATAAGAGTTACAAGGATCTTCTTGGTGAAGCTATGCTACTCAATTGCTTTGTTATTTTTATTTTTAAATTTCAAAGTGTTAAATGTCATCATCTGAGCAGCACCTAACCCATTTTGACTGGAGTTTGGGTGACTCTCCCTGCAGGGGACTGCTGGTATGACCGGCTGTCAAAAATTATAAGTTGATACCTGAAGTGGCGATTGTTCACAATTGCACAATGTAAAAAGAATAATCATAAATACATTGACTCTTGACTTGAAACATACTGTCATTAGTCCTTGACATTTAATGTTTACCATTAATATTTGTTATCCTCTATGATGATAGTAGTGGTACATTCCTACGGTAGTATCCCTAGCCTGTATGCAGATAGGAGTGGTACAAACACCATACATTTATAGTTATACCATTACAGAGACGCCAACCTCTATGCACACACACACCAAAAAAAGACCCAAACAGACTGGCAATCTTTAAAGCCCCACTGTATTACTTATAGCTACTTGCGCCCTCTATATAGCAAACAATGCCTTATTGGTGCCTGTTGGTCCCCCATGATCCCCTTTTTCTTATGTTAATTGAGAGCTTATTTGATAAGATAACCACCTGTCAGTGACCTTGCAGGGAGGTCTAATCCCCCCTGGCCAAACTACACTCTTATTTCCACGGAGTCAAATTTCACTCTAAATGGCGTCAGCTGGGAGTCAACTCTATTCCTAGTTAAAGTGACACGGATTCCGAATCAATTTGACTCGGATTGTGTGGCATCAGCTGAGAATTGACTCAATTCAGAGTCAAGATGACTCCTTTTCCGTGTCACTTTAACTAGGAATAGAGTTGACTCCCAGCTGACGCCATTCAGAGTGAAATTTGACTCCGTGGAAATAAGAGTGTAGTGCAGACGGGCTTTAAAAAAAAAGAAGGATTTTCCACACAAAATCTCTGCCATTAATACTCACTATCCAGAATGATGACAATAGTGGTACCGTAAGTTCCTATGGTACCCATGTTAGCTTCCCCTCGTGCTTCTATAGCGATGGTGACCATGAAACTTTCATCAATCTCCATCTCAGCATCATCTATGAGTAAGATATCAAGGTCCATCCTCGTTTGGCCTGTTAGCATGGTATGTCTAGGATCCACGGGTGCGACGAAATCATAGTTGACTACAGCCACTCCATCAGAGACCATAACACCTGAAACAAGATAGTCATTAATTGTTATTAAAACATTCATGTGGAACGTCTATTAAAATTAAAAAAAATATCAAAATCCATGATGCCTGTAATGTCATTGGCAGTACATCTTAACATTTTAAAATTATACAATTATCTCACAAGTTGTATCATGTTAACTCTAAAGGATTCCACCCCCTGTAGTTCTTGTGCAATGACTTCACTGCAATTGTCTCGCCCTGTGCTATAATGACTGGGCAGACTGGCGTCTAGTGCATCTTTTGACATCAATTTCATAAACTTCGGACAATGGGTTGCTGCGTAGTATCCACAAATTTTTGCTCTGGGCATGTAAAAATTGCTATCTCCCTTTAGTAATACAAACTGAGTCTGATCACATATATGAATAATAAATTCAGCGATTATTAAAAAAATCTTCAAGTTATGAAACCAAAATGTCATATTTATACCGTTACATGTATTTGTATTAAATTATTCTATTGACATGGTCAACTCAAAGGAATGGAGTGCATGGTAAAAATACCCAACGTGGCATTGAAAGGAACTTAAATTAAGTGATTTTGTTTGCAGTTGAAAGACATGGTCAACGTTATTAATGCTCTGGATGTGGTATTGACCCTGAGGTACAGATGAAATGTGAGATGTGATATATCTCTCAGATTGTAGTATAGTAACTTCTTACCAAAATCTACTCTGGTACCCACTATGCCTCTTCTGCTGACTGTGACTGTGGCAACACCAGCGCTCTCTAACGCACTGTATTCAGCTTTTTCAAAGGAAAACACAGCTGCACTTGGCTCTGCTACACTATCTGTATAAAGAAACAATTCAGATATTTTAACTTTGTTCTTCATGCAATTATTTTCTACATTATATGAAAGTGAATTTCACACAATTCAGTTATAACGGTCCTATAAACTGTTCCAAATCTGGAATACTGTTCTAACAAGCTTATCTCTCCAATCAAAACAATCTTGTTTCAGAAGAGTCAAAATGTATTTAAATGTATTCCAGGGGTAATGCTATAATACATGTATGGTTGAGTAATTTTGTTGATTTAATGATTTTGAAGATGATAACATTGAAAAAGTGCATTGCTTTGGATGCCATTTTCTTCAAGCTAATGAGGCTACCGGTATATAACTCGTCTGTTTATCTAATATCTTTTTTTTTCAACTGAAAGCATCATTCTATAGAGTTATGGAGTGTATACTCACCCAGTGCATCACTGATGGTTCCAGTAGATGAACAGTCACCAGTGAGGACAGAGCTATCGGCAGTTACCATCCAACTTTTCAGCCAAGCATTTGCATCATTACTACAATCAACTGGATTACCAGCCAACAACCTGCATTCAAAGAAATGATTAGTATAATAATAAAAATATTCCACTTTTAAATAGCACTTAATACATCTACAATGTCTCTAAGCACTTTACAGACTACCCTGGTCTTTGAATTCAATACTTGCCTGTATACACTGTGTGCACAATCTCCACTCCCTGGGGAGCATTCCAGCCAGGCGTTACTTGACGCCAAAAACTGTTTGACCAATAATGACGGTCGCATCCTACTGGGTACCCATTTATGCTACTATGGTGTATCTATCGACCACTGACCTTTATTCAAGAAGATGATTACATTCTACTGGTTTATCAACCAAGGGCCTGTATAGTATTCAAGAAGATTATTACATTCTACTGGTTTATCTATCAACCAAGGGCCTGTATTCAAGAAGATGATTATATTCTACTGGTTTATCTATCAACCAAGGACCTGTATTCAAGAAGATGATTACATTCTACTGGTTTATCAACCAAGGACCTGTATTCAAGATGATGATTACATTCTACTGGTTTATCAACCAAGGGCCTGTATTCAAGAAGATGATTACATTTTACTGGTTTATCTATCAACCGAGAACCTGTATTCAAGAAGATGATTACATTCTACTGGTTTATCTATCAACCAAGAACCTGTATTCAAGATAATGATTACATTCTACTGGTTTATCTATCAACCAAGGACCTGTATTCAAGAAGATGATTACATTCTACCAGTTTATCTATCAACCAAGAACCTGTATTCAAGATAATGATTACATTCTACCAGTTTATCTATCAACCAAGAACCTGTATTCAAGATAATGATTACATTCTACTGGTTTATCTATCAACCAAGAACCGGTTTTAGTGAAGATTGTATGATGATTACCTGTACATGCAGATTATATAAAGTTATGACATCCCCAATATTTCATTTCTTAATTTACATTTCATGGAATAATATCTGACTATGATCATGAATATTCATGAGGAGTGTACTTACAGTTCAGTGAGACTAGTCAACAAGTTGAAACCAGTTTGTTCTAGAATGGATAGACCGTTCATCTCTAGGTTTCTATGGGAGAAAAAATATAGCGCATTAATTAGCATTTCTTTTCCAAATTGACAAACTTCATATAGAAAACAAAAGGCTTGATATGGTGATAAAAACTTTTTTTAACTCACAATATCTACAAATTGTCATTCATATCTTGTAATTATAATTAAATGCACATTTCTGAAGTTCTTCTTTGTACGACTGTCATAACATGATGTTTGCATCAGTACAAAAGTATTCACACTTGAAGAGCTAGCTCCAAACACTGCTGAGATTTGTGACGTGACGCAGGGACCAAATTAGCATTTACAGGTAAGCAGACGAAGTCCCATAACAATGCACACATTTTTTTGGTGCCTGTTTCATTGTCTCCTCTTCACTTATTTCTCTTACTTCACCAGTGTTTATCCTACTTGATCTGTTGGCTCACAATAAATTTTGGAAGTGGTTTTATTTTGATGAAAAAACTAAAATAATGGAATCGGTTGTAGCTTCACTGTGGCTTGTAAGAAAGATGTGATTGTACATTCAGCTGCATGCACCAGCGTATGTGCAGCGTTTCAATCAGGAACAAACACTGTCCATTCTATTACATGACGGGCATTTCAATTCGAAAGTGGGCTGATATTTCAGTGGTTTATTTGATTGATCATTAACCCTTGCCCCGCATGTTTCTAAGCATAAGATTATGATAATTGGTATCAGCATTCCTTTATTTTTTTTAAATGATGTGAAATATGTTCATGTTTAAAATCAGTCGAACTCCTCGAGAAATAATTGCGGTGAAAATATGTTCACTTGTTCATATAGGACAGAAAAAAATGGTTTGGCAAAACTAAACAGGGATGAAATACCCCACTATTGAACAATGATTGACCCAGGGATTCACTATAGATATTTTGTAACATTTCCTGGATCATATTTTATGCAAGTCTTCCGGATTGTTCATTATATCATGATTATCACATTTTTCCAGATCATAAATAATGCATTCATAGCAAACTTGAGATAGAAGTGACTGCTATACTCACATAGACGTCAATAGATTGAGATTATCAAAGCCTCCTGGACGAATCTCTGTAATTGCATTGTTCTTCAAAATTCTATGATAGAAACAAATTATACAACTTCTTAATAAAATCATGAATCTAATGCATTTTATAAGAGAACTTTGTATAAAGGTGTTTTTCTTCAAAGTGGCAATTTCTAGATTTTCTCATTTATTTAGCAATATATTGCATGTATCCAACCAATAAAACATATTAAGTGCATAAAACAACAAAAAGATCATTAAATAGTTCATGTGATTTGGCACTTCCATGCCATTTTTATATCCTGTATATATGCGAATATATATCCGATATTTTGTGAATTTATTGACTTGCAGGGAGTTGCAGCAGTGACAAAAAAGTGTCCTATTGTTGTTGGGTGTTGAAATTGGCACCAGGACAAAGTGATGTCTTTTCTAATAGACTTATACACTTATTCTTATAAACATGAAGAAACTTTTTTTGTTTAAAACAAACTTAGACAGATTCATAGCCCAAAATGTTAATTTTTACCAAGTTAAAGGAGTGAGCAATTGTCCTCTTTTCTACTTTTGATTTTTTTTTGAGAGTGTATGTCATAGACTCTGAGGCAACTGGTAAAAACAACAAAAGTTTGCCATGCTTAATATACACCATTTCAAAGAAAAACAACTCACTAGATGCTTATTATTACCCTTTAAGTTTCTTGTCACTGCATATAAAGCATTATAAGTAGTACCTTTAATCAAAAGTTGTTATTTTGAGCTATGTGGAAGAGTGGTCTTCAAGGTAGAGGCTACTTACATTCTCTGCACAGGTAAGTTCTGAAATGCTCCTAATGGTACGTTGACAAGATCATTGTTGGAGAGATCACTGCAAAGAAGAAAGAGATAGTGTCAACTACATATGCCTCCTAAATATCACCAAGTTTCTTCTTGTTACTGAATTCAAGAGATTTAGAAATATTGGTCCATATTCTACTTATCCAATTAAAGGAGAATGAAATCCAACAAAAATTAGCTGATAATCTTTTTCAAGCGTGAAATATTTTATATTTGATTATTTACTGTACTACTCTGACATCACTATTCCCTGGGAGAGGGAGAATGGCTAGCAAGGAAACTAAAAAAAACTATGGAGATAACTTTTTTGTTGATATTATTTATCAAGAACAAAGGTTATCTCCATAGTTTCCTTGCTAGCCATTCTCCCATGGGAGTTGCCATTTTTATTAAAATAGTGATGTCAGAGTAGAACGTACAGTGTGTGGCTTGTGAAATACCCCCTAACCTTTATTTCTAGTTACAATGTACATGTAGGGCACTCACCTGTGAAATACAACCACAACAATGGTTTCCTTTATAGAATAGACTATTTTGGTATTGCATTCAGTTGAATGGATATTCTTTCATCACTGTGACAAGATATTTGGTTCAGCTGTTTGGAACAGCTGAGAAGTTTCTTTTGTTAAGCATGCAAATTTGCAAAAGAAGTTGCTTGGTCAGCCAAAGTTCTGCCCATTATTGAAAAGAGTGACAAAGTCATATGGTACATATGTACATAGGAGTGCTCAAAGAAATCGTTTCAAGAGCTGGAGTAAACAAGATTGCTGCAGTTTGCACCAATGGCCCTGATAATAGCACAATACCCAGTCATTACCATCACCATACGTGTACATCCATCCTATGTATGTCAATGGATTACTCTGCCATCACTATTTCAATCAAGATGGCACCTCCATTTTGAGAGTGGTTAAAAAGGAAACTGCAAACTTTGGAGAGATTGGTTTATTTGTAATCAAATAGAGATTTTCAAGATTTTTTCAGCTGGCTGACAATGTTGAATAAAATCATCAGCTAATGTTTGCAGGGCTGTCAACCCTCCCGCATTTGGAGGGAGTCTCACACTAACACGTTTATTCTCCGCCGTCCCACCAGCTCATAGCCGGAGACTCCCGCCACCACGCCCTTCCTCCTGCTCTCCCGCAATCTCCCGGTTTATGAAAAAACTTCCCGCCAGATGTGTAAAATGGATAGATGTGCAGTACGCATAACTATCGTTCATATTACCTCCGTAATCATGAGATGCACCTGAGATTAAATTTGGTGATCCTACTGTACCTAAAAATTTGATTGATTTTTTTTCTTTTTCTTTTGTGTGTCATTAATTTTGTGTGTGATTTTTCTTAAAGAATGCAATGCACAGGGATGGATGGAAGAGTAGCATTTCCAAGACCAACATCTTCATTTAAAGCTACAAAAAATAACACAACATTTTAAAACTCTATATATGTTTCACAGAAAATTATGTTTGCATTTAAATAAAACTTATTCCATCGTATTTCACAAGGGTTGAAAGAGGTTAACCGTGCAACTGACTTAGAGCATTTGGGGTTATAATCCTATCAATCATGGTGTCGTTAGTACATCCATGATCCGGTCCAGACTCGTTAAGGAAATTGTTCAAATATGATACTTCCCGATGATCTTACACACAATGGTGTTGTTCTTGTTAGTTGCTTGTGTCATTGTTGTTGGCTGTTTCCTCAAGTTCATTTATAGTCATTTCTGGCAAGATTTAGAATGACTAAATAGGTCTGCCCCCCCCCCCCCCAACAGACTCGAGCACTTTTTGAATTCCACTTTGATTCGTAAATAGAACCTTTATTCACTAGTTTATTCTTGTTCTTTCATTTGTATATGTCATCCAGCCCTCCATCTCTTTGCTACATCTCTCTCTCCATTTCTCTACATTCTCTCCCACTTGCTACATCCCCTCTATAATCTTTCTTTTATTTCCTTTATTTATCTTACAGTCTATTTCTCTATTTGTCTGCATCTCTCACCATTTCACTTCTTACATGAAAGTAATTAAGTCATTCCAACGATGCGTTTCAATTTGTTAAAAACATATTTTCTGTAATGCATTTTTGATATCTTTAAATTTCAGCTCCAGTAGCACACATCAAAGCTCTTGTATATTATCTTTATATTTATATTGTTTACATTGTTTTATCCTTGGCCTTCGTGCTTTCCACACAGGAGGACAGCCTAGTCTAGACTTGAAAAAAAGAAAAAATGGCATGAGATTTCAATTTCCCTCAATTGTTTTTGTGAACAATTAAGGCTATCTTTATATTAACTGGATGGGTGTAATATATATTTTTGGACCGCAAGGGAATTATATATTTACAACCCCTTAGGAAAATATACATGTACATGTATCTCCCTGCAGCAGTCCAAAGAATGTTATATCAAAAATGACGCCAGGCTGGAATGCTCCCCAGGGAGTGGAGAATTTGCTTATGTTGTATGCAGGTATAAGCCTGAATCCGATGACCGGGGTAATAATATATCTGTAAAGCACTTAGATATATCATTGATGTATTAAGCGATATATACATGTAAAAGCAGAATATTATTATTATTACTATATTACACACCCTACCAGTCAATATCTATAATAATTTTCTTTGACCAGAGCGTATACTGATTTTCCTCTTATCCAAAGAGTTTAATAGAATACAACTCTTTGACAAAGTTCCAAGATGACCAATAACTTACTTCTTCTGACACAATGACAGAGACAATTAACATACTTCCATGTGAAGGGAATTCCCCTCAATTACATCATTATAGCCACACCCAAGTCTCTGTCCAGTGATCAGCCACAGACAATGGGATATTAGGATTAGCTTCAGACAGAAAAAACCCAAAACAATTTTGACCTGACGTGAAAGGTATGCTCAATTAACATCCATTTTATAAACACATCAGTGCAAATGTACTTACAACCAGAGAAGTAAGTAAAGTAACAATGAAGCTAAACAAACATTTTCCACTTACGACACATCTGCAATCACACACAAGTTGCATTGCGTAACCTTATACTAATGTTAATCATCATTGAATGGTTTATTAAAAATACTCAAAATAGCAGCCCGAGAGATGAATTACATTCAGTTCACAATAAAAGCACATGAAATACATAGCAATATAAAACAAATTATTACATAAAGCTTACAATAAGATATAAAAAAATAACATTGATACATTAATATATTATTAAAAACTAATTAGTTAGCTTGCATAAATCAATGGAAACAAAGTTACAATTTAAATATCTTATAATATAGATTTTGAAAACCTGCCTCCCCTCACTAATCCGCACAATGTACTTCGATAAATGTAGGCATAAAGAATTGAAAGCTGTCCAGTTTTTTCTTGATAAAACATATTATGTTGTCATGCAACACACAGCACAGGAAAGAAATGATTCGATAATGTGTTGGATAAGTAATTTATGCCATCCCAAATAATTTATGTCATCTTACAGAAGCATATTTTGAGAGGAAAATCCTATACTGTATCTATCGTATATGGCAATCAATTATCACAGTATATACCACTAGTATTGGCAACACCCCTTTTGACTTTGGACACAATCTTAAATGAAGTTTTCATATTACTAATGGTAGTTAGGTCCGTTAGCTATCAGAATGTGATTGGTTGCCTTAAAGATGGAAGTGGGTGTGACCACTATTACCAACCATGGTAACGGAACAAGAGCATAAGAATTTTAGTATGAAGCTTTCGGTCTAGCACCCGTCTATATGAATACCATCGCCCAACCTAACTCCAGGGAGCTCCGCGACGCCGCGGCGAGGCTCGCGCTCCCTGGCCCTATTACGCCCAACCATACTTACATGACATCGAAGTTTGATAGCGAAGAGAGACTTGTAGGCATGTTGTTTAGACCCAGTCCCGAGCAATTAAAAACACGATTTTGACATCGACATCCATCTGGTGTTCCACTTGGACATTCTTGTGAAGAAACGAGGTGAAATATCACCAGCAAAAGTGTAACTAGATAAATAAACCACCTCATGATGTCGGCGCGATTGCAGTTAAATCCACACAAGCGCAGTTTCACAATACCGGTGCGTGCAGAGGAGGGCAAGTGGGTAAATAAAGAGCTAGCTGACTCCGAGTTGGTTGAATGGGCAATAATAATTACCGATTGGAGGGCGCGGCGCGCTTTATGATACCATTCAAAATAGTCAAACCGCAGACCCCCAAATTTCCAATCCTGCTTGACTGGTTCAGTTTGTGATTACGTGATGACTAGGACCAATTTTCCAAATGAGTGAATGGGCTATACACATTTATCAGTTTTCGTGGTTTTCATTAAATGAGGAGGTGCCATATATTCATGAAATACTTTTCTTATCTTGGAAAAATGTGATGAAATTTGTGGAAAATGTTGTTATATTCTGATGATGATTTGAAAAATGAAACAAAATATACAAGTGGAAAATTCATAGTTCTATTTATGAGCAAGGTTGAATTTGACATGAGTGCACAGGGCAAACGAGTAAAGAACATCATTCATGATAAGGACGGTCACAGGATCCAGCAAAATGAAAGTAGACATTGCCCTTCAAAAAGTCAACTTCAGCACTTTGGCTCATAATTATGTCGATCTTTACACCAGTCTTTTAATACAGAAAAGTGTTTTATGTCTACTTTTTATCACTTATTTACAACCCACTTACTCTAAGAATTATGAGTTAATTTATGAACTTGGTGCACCAGTGCAATAAATCTAAATTGCACAGGGGATGGGTATTCCTATAAACCTTTGTGAAGACATATCAGAGATTATTTTACACAAGTAATGCATGATTATGCAGAAAAATTCATTTCCTTTATTGTTTGCCCGATTATATCTTTGTTTGATTGTGTTATGTGTTATTCTGTCAACCGAAAAATAATTTTATTGAAATTTTGTATGAGGCACTATTTATGTTATTATGTGTATCTCAGTTACTAAACACCATGCAATATACGACGAATTTCAATTATATATGAATCTTATGAACCTTAAAACATATTGTGGCGGTAGTAGGGGGAAGGTGGTTAATCAAACCATAATGGACCTTCTAAGTAGGTCCATGATCAAACGAAGAGGGAAAAAAGAGGATATAGGAGGAAGTAAATTTCAGTAAGAGAAAGGTGTGATCGGAGTTTCACTTTGCCACCTAAATCAAGTGAACATTCTCACTGGTGGTACGGCTGCCACCATCTAGAAGTGCTAGATTCTCCTCTCTTTACAACATCCAGTTGTATAGAGACTGAGATAAATTCCAGAACTGTTGGATCACACAACAATCGAAAGTTAGGCCAAGTATATAAGGCCAAACAACAAACAACCATGTTTAGCGTCCGTTTTTTTTTTTTAAGGAGGAGGCCCTTTTTTAAAATCAGAAATAGATCCATTTTAACATAATTTTTCATGTTTTTTTTTCTATAAAAAAGAAAAAAAAAAAAAAGGAGGCGGCCCCAAAAAAGGAAGCGGGCGGGGACACTAAACATTTTTTTTTTAATGGCCTAACAAAACTTACGAGTTTCTCTTCCCCGCCCGTCCGCCTCCTTTTTGACCGCCGCCTCCATTTTGTTTACTATTTACTATCAAGAAAGAAAAAAGAAAAGAAAAGAAAGATGTGATGTACAAGCAATTAGATTCAAGTTGAACACATGAACATTTTCACTTTTTCTGAATTTTGAAGCTTGCTTCATAGCAACATGATACAAATCATTTGTTTTGTCATAGCCATACTGATTGCAATACAGGCCCGTAGCCAGAGTTTGTTGTGTTTTTTTTTTTTTGGGGGGGGGGGGGCACATAAATGTTATCGATCGAGGTCTAAAAAAGGGGTATAAAAAAGTTCAACCGATCTTGGATTTTTTTTTGGGGGGGGGGGGGGGGGGAGAGAAAGGTGCCCCCGTGCCCCCCGTGGCTATTTGCCTGCTCAAATAGCACAATTTCTTTGGATACATAGGTCTATACCTTTGCCAGCCCTTTTTAGCATGGCGGTCATCTTAATTGGGGAAAAGAAAGCAAAAAACAAAATAAAAATAGTAAAATGCTGCCTCCTATTTTGAAGAAGTCCGGACGCGAAATTCGTTACCTTTTTTTTAATTTTTTACTTGGTCTGAGTGAATTTTTCCAGGGATGTGAGACTATACGCAGCCCTCTGATTGGATAAGGCACATACCTCTTTTAAAATTTGATACAACGCACTCAATGCAGGTACCTTTGACCTGAACCCTGGGATCTAGGATCTAGCTCCAGCTCCAGCTGCACGTGCATATCGCATAGCATGCATAGTATTGGAAATCGCGCTCTCGAATCATATATCTTGATCCCTAGCTATCCACGTTCTCGATCCATGATTCCATGCCACGAGGAACGAGCATCCCGGCTCATCTCCACTGTTCATCACTACAAAGTTAGTAGACCCTATTTCCTCAATAAGGTGAGTTATCATCATCATAAGAATAAGATCTAAATTATTCTTTATCAATACTCTGTAAGCATTATTTAATTCTAGGATTCATACCAAACTTGTAAAGTTACAGCTCAAATTCTCTGGGCCGAAGTCTGACGGAGTAACGATCTGCACGACACACTGCATGCACAGGGCCTACTGCAAACTGTGGCAATTGGGATACGCGTGCATGATGTCAAACATGCTCAATATTCGAACTCGTATCTTATACGGCAATTTCTTTTACGTCCCTTATCACATTCTTCCCATAGGGTTGCAAGTAATCTAAAGTCTGGATAAATTAAGTGTCTGAAATAAAAACCAGACAGTGATTTAATTCGTTCTCTAAATTCTCAGACTCGTTCAATCACGCTATCTACAGAAGATGTAAAAATAGTACCAACCAACAAATACCATTTTGCAATTTTTTGCTAGGCCTATTGTTTTCTAAGATGGCTGCCATGCTAATTATTGCTGGCCAAGCCTATTTATTCACAGTTATTGTGCTATGTGAGTTTACTGATGCAATGTATGACTAAACAAATGATTTGTATCACTTTAGAAGCTATTTAATCAAAATGTGGACTTTACTAATTATATCACAGCCCTTTTTTTTGTGTCTTTTTTTTCATCTGAAGAAAAGGAAATGGTAAAAAAAAAAGGAGGCAGGCGGGGACAAGAAACATTTCTTTTTTTTTAAATTTGGCCTTACAATACATTGTGGTGACAAATGAAGATGTTGCCTTACCCTTTGTGACCGACCCAAAAATCTTTAAATCTCGATCAGCTTTTTAATAAAATATTGAAAAAAAGGTTTTTTATAAAAAAAAATATGTATTTTGTTTGTTTAAATGGGATATAATGCATAAAATCATCAAATTATTTCCAAGTTCTCACTCGTCTGTTGCCATAAGTTCAAAATCCTGCTAGCATAAACAAGTTGACCCCAGCCTTGTGTACGTGTACATACCGTTAAAACAGTCAAAAACCAGCGAAATTTGTGCAACATTCCTGTTTTTTTTGGGTTTTTTTTGGCGACGGTCGCTGTTTTGAGGGAGAAAAAAATAATCTGATCGACCGACCCAGGTTCTAGCAGTCCTAAAGGGCAATACAACATCTTTTTTTTAGGCCTAATTATGTAAGTCGTGCCAAATATAATTCATATTATATTTTGATGCAATGCAAATACTATAACTAGGCAGGTCACACTATTTTTTAAACTTCAAATTAAGTAATTCTTAATTCTTATCTCATCATGTGGAAAATATTTTTTGAAATATTTGTTTTTCAAACTTGCTAAGCTCCAGCCCCCAAAACCTCCAGATCTCATTCCCCTTGTGACGTCTGTCAGTCATCAGTGAGCTAACACTATGAACATAACGGACAAAATATACAGTTCCTCATTCTACCCTCAACAATTGCTATGGTAGACAGAGGAACATCCTTCACTGCTATTATGTAAAAATGTGTAGAACAGGTGAATATGCATGTGACACCTGTTCCACAGATTTTTACATAATAGCAGTGAAGGGATGTTCCTTTATCTACCATAGCAATTGTTGAGGGTAGAATGAGGAACTTGTAATGTTTTGGTCCTTATTTAGACAGCCGAAAGGACGACACAACAGCCTTCAATTACATGGTTGATAACGTGTGTGTATTCTCTGTTCAACTTCTGTACAGGTCATATTACCATACACTATACATTGTTCTTGTACGAGTAACCAATGACAACCAGAAAGTATGGAATGCTAATTGTGCAGTTGTTCAAGATACTACAATCCTCCCTACCTGGATTAAAACCTTTCTATAATGAGATAAGTCAATCACAGTGTAGCTGTTGTTATTTCTATGGCTTGTTTGACATCATCAAACTGTAACAATCATTCATCAATGTGTTTTAGACCATGTAAGAACAAACTTTGGAAAAAACATCAAAACAAGTTGTAACTCATTTAGAGTATAAAACCAAACTTGAACATTAACCAAACTCAGCTAATTTGCACAAAGCCATGTATAGAACTCATGTACACATGTAATGGTTAAATAACTAACTTGCATAAGACAAAACTTGCTACGGATAGCCAGTATTACATATATACACTTCAAACAAGAAATAATTCACTTTGTGAGATCATGCAGAGCTTATGCATATAGCAATATACCATCTAATAAAATGTGAACTCTAAAAGTTGTAAATTAGGCTTTTAGGAAGTATTCATGGTTGAAATAAGCTGATTATGTAGTGATATATTTTCATATCAACAGATCAAAATTACCTATGACCTGCAGAGGTCAATAACTGTTTGCTAGCATAAAAATCTTGTTCTTAGCACTCAAGTCTGTTTCAGTATAATAAAGCATAAAAAATGCAATTGACTGTTCTGTCATACATTGTAGGCATGAGGCAATAGCATCGAACAATATGAACCCAAATATCAAATATCATAGATTATAAAACATAGCAAACAGCAAATACACATGTACAAACCTTCAAACTGTGCAAAACTGATATTCATTCATAAACACAATATAATGGCAACAAATAACACCTTTTTACATTTTCCTTTCTTCTTTCCCTTTTGAAAAATAGCCAAGTGTACAAAATATTTTCTTTGCATGAACGTAAAAAAT